ACATTATTTAGTATTCATTTATTCACTCTGACCTAGGGAAAAGGTCAGAAAACCCTGGTCATAATTGTTTTAAATGTTGCGTGTTCCTAATGATACAAAACATTACAGAGGAATGATACTTAGCCGATGAAATCTCATAAAGTTCACGCATGACATATTGTGGTATGGAATATGGCTATCTCTGATGCATTTGCAGATTTAAATTTATTTTTGCGTACTGTTTTCTATCAACTGATACCCCAAATTTATACAAGCCACGTCTTCGCACCACAATGTGACATAGCATCAAATCTGCATAATCTCGTACCATTTTTTTAAGTATCAAGGATATTCTTGGTGTAGCTGATCATCATGTTTCGAGTCATTGAACCTAAAAAATAACAAATATCAATAAATAGAATTCGGAATTTATTCCAAAAATATTTTTTTTTTTTGGGAATTATATAGGATTTCTCGTTAATATACTGACAAACTTTTAAAGGTGGTAGGTGCAGTAAAATAAACATTTTTTTGCTTATTAAAATAAAAATAATTTTATTGCCCAACAAATTAATCCATTTACAGAACAAAATACATGAAATAAATGTTAAGCATAATATTTTGACAGAAAATAATTTTAGCAACAGCAAGAAAAAAAAAGAAAAGAAAGAATCCTAAATATATATATAAGCAGAGATTCTTCAATACCTCTAATGGGATACAGCTCATCTATTTTAAAAGAAAGGTACTTGAGAGATCGCCGCTGAACATTTTCCAATGATCTTTTATGAATATTGTAAATAAGGTTCCAGACAAGAGATGCATATTCTGGCCTGAAACGAACTAAAGAAAAGTAGGGATCTCCAAGCTTTAAGAGTTTGTAAAAGAACGAGTATTACGAATTAAGAACCCTAAGCTTTTCAACGCAGAAGCAACGGTAAAGTTAGGCTGATAAAGGTAGGCTGTTAAATAAATAATCAAACTCCACCTTGTTATTACTTCTAGTATAGGAACATACTTTACATTTAGACACATTCATAATTTTCAACGATTCCCAAGTTGGGTCTGTAAAAAGTAACAGTCTTGAATTGATGAGATTGAGGTAAATATTTTTAAGTCAGCAGCGAACAGCAGGTTAAATTTATTGCCAAGTCATTTATAAATATACCAAATAATAGTGGCCCCAGATTGGAGCTCTGTGGAACTCCAGATGTTGCTGTGAGGGGTGAAGATAAAAATCCGTTGTAAAAGACATAATTAAAACGATGATTTAGGTAAGATGAAAATAATCTCAACAGCGACTGATTAAACCCTAAGCTTTCCAACTTCCTTACAAGAATATTATGATTTTTAATTATTACAAAATACATTATGGGCAGGTTATACAAAAAATATTCTAAACATATTTTAACTAACAAGAGTTTTATTTTTAACTAGTTATATTTAAAATAAATGTCATTTTTAAAACTATGTTTAACAATAACCAATGAGTATACAACAAGGTTCAGTTTAAACTAAGTCTATATTTGAACTGCCTATTGTACAACCCGCCATATGTACAATTAAAAATTAATTGTATTTCTTTAAAATGCACTTGATTCTGTTGATCAAAACCATTCGATAAAAAAATTAAAAAGTATTTGTATAAAGGTGGTTTTTATATATATGCTATAAAGCATGCATTGGGGTAGCATGTAGATTATCTAAGTATCAGATCAGAGAGATTAAAATTAAATAACATATGTAGTGGGATTCTCACCTTTCAGTACGTCTTCTATCGAGACTCCTATCTTTGTTCGACAGACAGCGATTTTAATGTAATGTCTCTCTCTCTCTATTCTGTATGTAATGTGTCGAGTTCGCACAAAAGAATCGCTGTCCTGATCAGAAAAAATTAACCACATCAAAGGAAGAAAATTAGGTCCCCTGATATTTTTAATTTATATTAATGATTGTTGATGTCGCAATAATCAATATGACATGTACCTGTTAGCCTATGATGTCCTTATCTATGTTTCTTGTAAGTTGTAAGGATTCAGATAACTTAGTAATAGTTAATTGTCAATGAAACTCTGCAAAATGTTTATAAAAGATGTTGAAATCATTTGCTAAAAATCAACACAAATACCTAAAACAAAATATAAGCTGATAAGTAATAACTATATGCAGTTTGTGGACAAACAATATAGGAAATGAAAGAAAATCTATACAGTTAGTAGAAAAATTCAAATATTTAAGGGTATTTATTCGGAAACAGATGAAATTCACAGACCATATGCAAATACTGTTATCAAAACAATTGCATTTAAATTACATTTCCTATAGAGAATGTTATTAAAATAATTGTTATATTATTACATTATTTTTTACTAAATTTGAATATTGTGATATTAGCAAACTAGCCAAATAAAGAAAATAAAAATGAAATAAAAACCGAAAACATACCTGGATCTACAATAATATATATATATATATATATATATATATATATATATATATATATATATATATATATATATATATATATATATATATATATATATATATATATATATAAATAATATAAGTACATTGCATCTTTTAAATTATTAAAGTCCATTAAATTGAAATGACACGTCAAACCATAAACGTAAAACTTACAAAACAAACATGCTTGTGTTGTGTTCCAAACAGAAAATAGCAATAATTTATTTACTTGCAACCTTTCCCCGCACACCACCACGCCCCTCACCAAGAAACATGGTCAAATTGGGCTAAGCCATTTTACATTCGTCTGCATAGGGAGCGATGTTGCAATTTTTCAAATTTAGTGTCTATTCCGTCTGTTCAGATGGCAGCATCTTATGGGCCCTACATTTTTAAATCTTATCACAAGAATCCTGAAATAATTAGGCAAAAATAAAAGAATGTATTTTGCGTCTTAACTTTTAAATACTATAAAAAATGATGGAAAGTCCATAACTTTTAAATATTTGTTAAATATCACTTATTAAAATATTATGCATTAAAAGTAAAACAACCCATAGACTTTCCATCATTCTTTACAGTTTTTTGAACCCATTTATGAAAACAGTTTTTGAAAATATTATTGTTCAGAGCTGTATTTCTTGTGATAAAAAAGTCGCCGTCACTTGTCATTGAACTTGGCCTTAATAATAATACCATCGTTTCATCCATAATCAGTCGCTTTACTAATACAATTCAAATATTTACAGACGGTTCGAAGTCTGAAACCGGTACATGCTTTTTACGTCCCAATTTTCAACTATATGCAGAAAAGTCGAATCCCGGACTATTGCTCAGTTTTTACTGCTGAAACCAAAGCAATTGAATCATCTCTTGAGTGGTGTCTTAGTGAAAAAAATAAACAAAGCTGTGATTATGTCAGATTCTAAATCTGTTCTACAAACATTGGAAAGTAATGCCACAAAAAAATATAATCAACACTTAATAACAAATATTAGATCCTTATTGTGCAACTTAAATAAAAAAAATATTAAAGTAGATTTCATTTGGACCAAAGGATATGCAGGAATACGAGGGAATGAAATTGTCGATTTGGAAGCGAAACTAGCTACTCTCCTAAGTGAAATAAAGGATGTATTTGCGTACGATGATATAATCAATTTCTTTAAAAATAAAATGAGTACAGATTGGAAAAATGTATGGAATGCCTACGTCGAAACTTCCAACAATCATTACGTTGATATACACCCTACACTGCCAAAAAAAAATCATTAAATTTTTATGTAATTGGTCTAGTAGTTGTTCGTCATTGAAAATAACGAAAATTAACATTAATTTCCCAAAATTAATCTTAATACGTGTTAACTGGTAAAATCAAATAAGTGTGGAAGTAATAATAAGTTGGTTATTAAAATTGAATGTGTAAATGAAATGCAAATAAGTAATTGAATAAGTATCATTCTTTTGAATAAATTAAATTTATTTAACGACTTAGTTTAAAATAATACATAAATTTACTCATAAAAAAATATAGAAATATTTTTATGAGAATTTCATGATTTTATGTGGATGTGTACTGCGTACTCAACAAATGTATTCAAGTTGACTCATTTGCCACTGTATTAAGAATCATCTATGTATAGATCGTGTATTAGTAATACGGTTTTCTAAATTTGTTAATTTCTGGTCCTCGATTCATATGTCTTTACTATTTTTTCTTCTATATTCTTTATAGACTGGGTTATAGGAATAACTGATACTTAATTTTGCTGTTATTGTAAACTATGTTAATTAATTTTAAATTAAACAAATCGGACATTCTGTCTGTATCTGTAATGTGTGTAGGGTGGGTTACCCCCACGGCACAGGCCTCATTAGGCCCATTGTGCATCCTCCTAAGATGATATGCACCTCCTAGCTTGTGAGCCAGCCTACAGATTTAATGTAGTTGATAACGTCGCCAAGAGATGCTTCTCTTATATCGGCCGGCGTTAACCGATACTCGCTGAACACAAATCTTCTAATAAATGAGAGTGTCGAGCAATCGTAAAGGATATGCACGATGATCTCATCTTCTTGTTCGCACCCTCTGCAGAGTGCGGATTCTGACAACCCCATGATATGGAGATGCTTCCAGGGAGCTCCTAAGTTAGCTTGACAACACTGCAGCAAACAAATACTTGGCAATGACCAGTCAGAACGCCTGTGACTAGGCGCAGATTCTGTCTAGTCATAGTCAAGTATTTGTTATTTTTGAGCACGTAGAAATGCTTTCCAAAAGCACCCTATCCCATTCTTAATCATTAGCTTATTTTAGTAACCTCGTTTACTTTGCTTCCTCAGATGGCTCACCACAAAATATGTGTTCTCGTACTAGTTCCAAATTTTTCCATTTGAAGTTTTAACTATTTCATGTTCATTATGGTACTTTGCTTTTAAATGTTTCTCTCTGTATTCATTGGAGTTTATATTTGTTCAATATAATCGTATCGCTTAAAATCATAGTATTGTACAAAAGTTATTGTCTTTTATTAGTACTATTAATATTATTTTCTAGGTTATATCATGGGTCGGGGAGGATACCACTCCAACCGGGCGGAATTCCTGTCTGATGAAGCAATCCTCAAATACAGCCGAAATGGTGGATGCTTCGTTACCACGAAAAAGGCGATTGCGTTCGTCGTATTCGCATTAGTATCTCTTTTAATAGTGATATTGGTGATGTATTATTATGGACCAAATAAGACTACCGAAAAGGTAAGTCTTAACCTAAGTTATTTTAAAGAGTATTCAGGTATAAAGATAATTAAATATGCGTGGTCAATTTTGAGATTTAATTTTAAGATATAAAATATGCAAGCATATTTATACAGTTTTTATTTCTCTTTCTTTTTTATATCCTTTTGCTTTTTCAGGCCTCGGATTGGAATTTGTTCTCTTCCTGAAGCCATCTCTTCTATTCTTTTCTCTTTCAGGCTAGTATCTTTATCTCTATCAAAGTTATCCGATTTCAATCCATTTGGTCAATTAATTTTCTTGATTTTTCCATTTCAAATTATTCTCTCTGGTTTTATTCTTATCAGTTTAATTGTTTCTTTTTGATCATTGTTATCAGTTTCGATTTGTGACCCAAATATTGAGGTTTACAATGACAGAATATAGATCTTATCTATACACCTTCCTAAAACACGTTTTTTATCTACACCTGTACTGAGATCTATATTCTGTCATTATGAACCCCCAATATTTGGGTCACGCCATTGTTTGTCATTATTGGTTGCTGTTTAGTTATTTTCTTATATATTCATTCCTTACTTTAATCCATTTAGATTTCTCTGCCAGTTTTCTCTCAATGTTTAATGTTCACTGCATTTATTTTTGTCTTAAATTTTTTTCTGTGGTAACCAGTAGCCTAAGTTATTGTTGGTACTGTAATTATATTGTAAATTTTAATTTTATGTCTGTATCAACAACATGTACTTTAGTTTGATTTATTTTTTTCACTTTTTGTCCATCCATTGATTCTGTTGCAGGACACCTGCTTTAATTTCTTTAATTTCGAAGTATACCTCTTCTTGCTTCACTCTTAACATTCTTGCCGTTAAATATGATAAAAGAATGTCGACACATTGTCTAGGAAGTATTTTTCAAGTTTCTGAATCAGGCCAGCGCGCAGCGTGCCAAATCTTGTCAAATGCTTGCTTGGGCTACGTCAAGAAATATAGGTGAGCATATACATTTTTTCTTCGTATGCTTTTTCGATAAAATCGGATGTCCTGTGTACTTGATCTATTGTCGAGTGTTTGTTTCTAAAACCAAATTAGTGCGAAGGGTTTAGGTTTTTATTTTCAATTATTGGTTTTAGTCGTTTTAGTAGTAGCTTTTCATATAACTTAGGGTATTATTGGTAACAATGATATAGGTCTATATGAATGAGATGACTTCGTTCGTAGGTTTTCCTGGCTTAGGAATTAGGATAACTTTCGCCATTTTACACGCATCTGGTATACATTTAAGGTAAAATGCTGCATTTATGTGGCATATCAATTTAACGATAGCCTTCCGTGGCAGCTTTTTAAAATTTCTCCAGTAATAAGGTAATTTTCTGGGCCTGTTTGTCTAAATTTCTTTCGCAACTTCATTGGGACCTAAGTAGCCTAATTTCAAACTGTTCCATAATATAGATCGTCTCATTAGGAGTGTCTTGATTTTCATCTAATTGGAACGTCTTTTGTAGGTGGTCAGCGAAAATATCAGCTTTCTGTTGATTGTTTCTTGCACATTTGTTATCTACTATTCTGATAGGAGGACAGGGTTTACACAAAATATAATCTCTTTAGTTGCCTTCCAGAGCAAATAGTCAGTTTCTTTATCATCTGCTAGCCCTAGGTATCTTTTAAAAGATTCTTCTTTGTGATTAAGGATTTCTCTTCTCAGTCTTTGGGTAGCCCTATTTAATATATTTTTATCTTCAGGTGATTTTATCAGTTTTTTCCAGTTGTTAATCTTCTTACTGTTGGTGTGTTGCTCCATGCAGCTTGCTGTATTTCAACTATAAACCTTTCCTTTCTTTATCTAGCGGATTTTTTGTTTTTAATGTCATGTATCGCAGATTGACTGAAAAAATCACCTTCTAATTACACTTTATTTTAAAACATTACTGAAACATTGTTAATTTTATTACATGGTGCACTTACAAACTACATACTTTTTACACTATGTACATACCTTGCTTAGGAAATTAGTTACTTAAGCACTCCAGCCGTTCTTATGGTCTTAAAGCTTAATTATTGGTGGCCGTCGAAAGCGTTGCCTTCTTTTTACACCGCAAAGCAATGTTTTGTTAGTGACTGTTTTTTATGATCTGACAGGAGATAAGTTGCTCAGCTAGATTGAGAGTAACCAATTAGGAAGTGCATAACGCCGGTGTTTTTAACTAATGAGGGCAATTGACGGACATGGATGACCAATTAGAAGTGGACAAGTAGAAAATGACGCCTGTGACGTAACTATTAGACGGAAGACCGTTCTTATCGGCCAAGGCAGTGCGTCAGAGACGTCTCCAGGATTAAAAGGCAGTGCGGCTTACAGAGACGTCTCCGGGAATAATAAAGAATTGAGAATGAAAGCTTAGAGCAATGTTGAATATAATTCATCAGTTGTCAGTTGGTATATTGTTAAGTCCTCTTAAAAACCTTCCCAATTAGTTTTCCGATTTCCTAGGGACGGTTTTGTTTCTTTTTAAATAACATTATCACTTAGAGTAAGAATTACTGCTGAATGGTCTAAATCCATAAATAAAATAAATACTGGTCGAGGCAAATCTTTTAAGCTTAAATGATCCTTAATAATATGGATTTTAAAGCAAATTACAGCAGTGATCGCACTATATTGTTGCTCAAAACATTTTTTCATGCTTAGCACCGTTTCTGAGAGATTGTTGGTTACAACATTGTTCGGGGCAGGTATTCAATAATATATACAGGGTGGGCCAACCCCAATTTACCGGCTTTAAAATGAAAATCGGGAAAAAAGCTCGAACCCGTCGATTTTTGATCCAAGGGGGAACAACTTGTTTGGTTTTTCATCCATGTAACTTCAACCCTCTAACAGGGGGAAGCACAACCCCCTATTTTTGAATAATGGTGAGGGATGTTGGAATACCTCATTTTAAAGATCTCATTGAGTACTATCTGACCCCAAAATTTCGCGTCAAAATTTTTATCGATAACAGCTAAAACAGTGAAAGAGATATTATGAAAAAAATGTCTACTTAATAAACAAAAAGAATACTTACTTCAGTGATTAGTTTATTAAATGCTGGAAATGGCTACCATTCACTTCCATGTAGTAAAATAAGTTTTGTTCAAAACGTTCCCGTACATTGCGCAACATGTCGGGTGTAATTTGACGACATTCATTAATTATATGATTTCGCAAAATATCCAGTGATTCGGACTGGGTAGCATAAATCTTAGATTTTAGATAACCTCTTAGAAAAAAGTCCAGTGGATTTAGATCAGGTGGCTTGGGTGGCCACTCAATATGCCCCCTTCTTCCAATCCAGCTTTGAGAAAAATTCTCATCCAAAATTTGACGAACAGATTGTTTGGAAACCAGTTGCAAAACGTAAGCAGCGGAGAGATTTTTTTAGGATGACGTTCGTTAAATAAAGTCGTTGTCGCTTGTTACTAATAAACAGTTTAATAATTTCCACCCTTTCCCCCACGGAATATATAATTTTAATTCTACTAAAAAATCTCAATCTAGTAGACATGATGGCAATGTTCTTAAAAATTTACGATGAACTGAGGTAAATCGAGTAAATGGTGTGCATCCATAAAATAAAAAATAAGAATAATTTTCCCTAAGGTGAACAAAACTTATTTTACTGCATGGAAGTGAATGGTGGCCATTTCCAGCATTTAACAAACTAATCGCTGAAGTAAGTATTCTTTTTGTTTATTAAGTAGACATTTTTTCATAATATCTCTTTCACTGTTTTAGCTGTTATCGATAAAAATTTTAACGCAAAATTTCAGGGTCAGATAGTACTGAATGATATCTTCAAAATGAGGTATTGCAACACCCCTCACTCTTATTCAAAAACAGGGGGTTGAGCTTCCCCCTGTTAGAGGGTTGAAGTTACATGGATAAAAAAATCAAACAAGTTGTTCCCCCTCCAATTAAAAATCGACGGGTTCGAGCTTTTTTCCGATTTTCGTTTTAAAGCCGGAAAATAGGGGTGTAAAGTTTTCGTTGGGCCACCCTGTAGGTTCTTACATTTTTAATTATTATCTAAATTAATGCCCAGAAATTTTATTTTATCAATATATTCAATGTTATGACTTTCTAAGGGTTAATACTTTTTTTGTCATATTTAAATACAAATAGTTTGCTTCACAACATGCTTGTATTTTCTTAATGTCGCAAAGAACAATTTCATAAATGAAATTGTACTCTGAATATCTCATAAATTATTCACAATTTTAATGAAATAACGTTATGATAATTATATGACTTATCACGCCGAAGACCTTGAAAGACCTTGAGTAAACCTTACCGCAAGTATAAACCTGTTTCACTATTTGCTTGAATGTGTGTGTATTCAATTAAATTAAATATTTTAGTTGTTTAAACGTACATACTTATGCAAATTATTTTTTAAAACCAGTTTTTATTATTTTGTGGATAAAACAAACTTATATCAGTGAAAGTTTTTTTTTATGATCTTTGGTATTTATTCATTACATTGATTAATATTCCATTATGGAATTTCTTTAAAACTGCGTTATTTGTAGGGTGATCGAAATATCATAGGGTCATTATATGTCCATTACAGTGATCCCAATCTTAAACAAGTTTTTTAATGTTTTATTAATTATAACAGACTTAGATTTTAGTCTTTACATAATATAATTTGATAAATCTAATTTTTTATATTCCTGTAGCGTAAACAAATTTTTAATTACTAGCTGTATTAATATAGCAGCAATGGAATACATTTCAATAAATTCATATAATTAACATATTAGTGATACAACATGATGGATATAGTAATGGTGGAACGAACATTATAAAAATCTAGAGTTACACAGTAAAGTAATAACACCAAAACTAATTTTTATTTATATTTTAGTCAAATGTCTAACTGTAGTTGCATTGTCATTTATTACTTATGTCCTAAATATCATTCTGTCATTGTCAATGATCAAAAATATAGCCGCAAGTTTTTGTTTATTGTTGTTAATAGTCCA